CGGGGCCTGCCCCCACCTGCGTTCCCTTCGTCGAGGGGCGGCAGCGCGCTGCTCCTCACTCCTCCGAGTTTCCTTCGACAGAGGCTCCGCTGCAGACGCTTCACATGGACGTGTGGGGCCCAGCCCGCGTCCGTGGTCAGGGTCACGAGCGTTACTTTCTGCTGGTGGTTGACGACTACTCGCGTTACACCGCAGTCTTCCCCTTGCGCAGCAAGGGTGAGGTCACTGAGGTGTTGATCGACTGGATCCGCGCAGCTCGTCTCCAGCTCAGAGAGAGTTTCGGCTCGGACTTTCCTGTTCTGCGTCTGCACTCTGACAGAGGCGGAGAGTTCTTCTCTGACCTTCTGCGAGCCTTCTGTCGCGCACAGGGCATCCGCCAGACCTTCACGCTTCCGGACTCTCCGCAGCAAAATGGGATTGCTGAGCGCCGCATTGGCATGGTCATGGACGTCGCTCGTACGTCCATGGTCCATGCGGCTACCCCCCATTTTCTGGGGCCGTTTGCGGTTCGGTACGCGGCGCATCAGATCAACCTTCAGCCCCGGGTCTCCATGCCGGAGACCTCCCCTGCTTTGCTGTGGACGGGGAAGGTTGGCGATGCTTCTGCGTTCCGTGTCTGGGGATCTCGGGCGTTTGTCCGCGACTTGTCTGCGGACAAGCTGTCCCCTCGTGCTGTTCCCTACGTCTTCCTTGGCTTCCCCCCTGATGCGCCGGGCTGGCAGTTTTACCACCCCACCTCGCGCCGTGTTCTGTCCTCTCAGGACGTCACGTTTGACGAGTCGGTTCCCTACTACCGTCTCTTCCCCTACCGCACTGCGTCCCTCCCCCCCCCGCCGCTCTTCCTTACGCCAGGTCCCCCTCCGGTAAACCCCCTCCCCCCTCAGGGTCCTGCCCCCTCAGGCGTGTCTCAGGTAGACGCAGTTGACCCTGTCGAGGTAGCTGTTGACTCTGGTGCTACTAGGGGTGCTGAGCCTGCGGGTGCTGGGTCTGGGGGTGCTGACTCTGGGGGTGCTGAGCCTGGGGGTGCTGAGTCTGGGGGTGCTGAGCCTGGGGGTGCTGACTTTGGGGGTGCTGCGCCTGGGGGTGCTGAGCTTGGGGGTGCTACGCCTGGGGGTGCTGCGTCTAGGGGTGCGGAGTCTGAGGGTACTGGACCTACTCGTGTGGCGTCTGGCGGTGCTGGGCCTGGAGGTTCTTCGGGTACTTCATCCCGGCGGGAGCTACTCTCTCCACAGGAGCAGCGTGAGTGGTTTGCCCGGCGCTGGAGGCGAGCTGCTGGAGCTGGAGGTGCTGCGGGTGCTGGCGGTTCTGCTGCTGCTGAGGGTGCTGGTACCGCGGGTCCCGGAGGTGCTCGTACTGGGAGTACTGGAGCTGCTGGTCCTGCGGGTGCTTCTCGTCCTGGAGCTGGTGGTGCTGCGGGCGTCGGTGCTACCGAGGGTGCTAGAGCTGGACCCGCTGCGTCTTCTGGGGGTCCGGCTGGAGCTGGAGCTGCTGAGGGTGTTGGCGCTGAGGTTGCCTCTCGTGCTGGTGCCGCTGAGGGTACTGGAGTTGGCACTGCTGGAGCTGGGGGTGCTGCTGGCGCTGGTGCTGTCGTTCGCGGTGCTGGTGCTGTCCCTTCTGGTGCTGGTGGTGCTGCGCGGCCGCGGCCGTACTTCGTTCCGCTCCTTGAGCAGGTTCTTGGTCTTCCGCCCTCTGCTAGTCCGGCTCCTCCCTTAGAGTGTCCACCGCCTGTCCAGTCCGAGTCACAGTTACAGCCTACCTCTCCTCTGCCTGCTCCTTCTCCCTACACTGGTCCTACTGGAGGTCTTGCTGAGCGTCGTGAGCCTGCGTCTCGTCCTACGTCGCCTGTTTGTGCTGAGCGCGCTAGTAGTCGTGGTTCGCGTCAGCGTCCTCCCCCTGTCCCAGGCACGCACCGGATGTCTCTGCGTCCCTCCACTGCTCCGCTGCGTGCCCCTTTGCCTTCTCCTCATGAGTCCTCTCTTCCTGTTCTTGCTGACCCGGAGTCGGACTCCCTTCGTGCTGCCAGTCCTACTGTCACGCGTCTCCTTGCTACTGTTGTCACTGACCCTTCCTTTGAGTCCGCTGCTGCGTCTGCCTTAGTTTCTGAGCTTGTCGACTTCGCTGCTCGCTGTCGCCTAGACTACGCTGCTAGTCTTGTCGCTGAGTCTGCGTCTGTCTGTCCTCCGTCCGTCGGGGGTGAGTGTGCTCTTGGCACGGACGTCCTTGAGGACAGGCAGGAGGATTTCCAGTGCTTTTCTGCTGCTTCACCTCATCTTGTGTCCATGCTGCTTGCCCCTGAGGGAGACCCGGATGCACTAGACATCCCGACTCCGCGCTCCTACGCGGAGGCGATAGAGGGTCCCTACTCCTCTCAGTGGCAGGCAGCCATGGATACAGAGATGGCTTCCTGGAAGTCCACAGGCACCTACGTCGACAAGGTTCCCCCTCCTGGGGCGAACATCGTCAGTGGCATGTGGATTTTCAGGGTGAAGCGGCCGCCGGGTTCTCCGCCTGTCTTCAAGGCGCGTTACGTGGCTCGTGGCTTCAGTCAGCGGCAGGGAGTTGACTACTTTCAGACCTTCTCTCCCACCCCGAAGATGACCACTCTTCGGGTACTGCTGCACATAGCCGCTCACCGTGACTACGAGCGTCACTCTCTTGACTTCAGCACTGCTTTCTTGCAGGGCAGCCTGCACGAGGAGATCTGGCTGAGCCGCCCACCTGGCTTCACTGGGTCTTTTCCTCCTGGTACCCAGTGGAGCCTCCGGCGGCCAGTCTACGGTCTCCGCCAGGCACCTCGTGAGTGGCACGACACACTGAGGACTACACTTGCGGCTCTTGGGTTTGCTCCTTCTACTGCCGACCCGTCGCTGTTTCTGCGCACCGACACTTCTTTGCCGCCGTTCTACATCCTCGTGTACGTTGACGACTTGGTCTTTGCCACAGCTGACACTGATGGACTCGCTCACGTGAAGTCCGAGCTGCAGAAGAGACACACGTGCACAGTCCTGGGTGAACTGCGCAGCTACCTTGGCTTGCAGATCACCCGGGACAGAGCACAGCGCACCATTACCCTGACTCAGTCACACATGGTGCAGCAGGTCCTTCAGCGCTTCGGCTTCACGTACTCCTCGCCTCAGGCCACTCCTCTGTCTACTCGCCACTCGCTCTCAGCTCTGCCTTCGGATGAGTCCGTAGAGTCGAGTGGCCCGTACCCAGAGCTTGTTGGCTGCCTCATGTACCTGATGACCTGCACTCGACCTGACCTTGCATACCCTCTTAGCATTCTGGCACGCTATGTTGCTCCTGGGAGACACAGACCAGAGCACATGGCTGCAGCGAAGAGGGTGTTGCGCTACTTGTGCAGTACGTCGGGCATGGGGCTTGTGCTTGGAGGGTGGAGTCCAGTGGTCCTCACTGTTCACGCAGACGCTTCTTGGACTGACAACCAGGCTACGCAGCGGTCGTCACAGGGTTACACCTTCAGCCTTGGTTCCGGCTCTGTTTCGTGGCGGTCTACCCGCTCGTCTTCTGTTCTCGGCTCCAGTTGTGAGGCTGAGATCTACGCGGGGGCCATGGCTGCACAGGAGTTACACTGGCTCACCTACCTGCTGACTGACCTTGGAGAGCAGCCTCGTTCGCCTCCAGTTCTGTACGTAGACAACAAGGCCATGCTGACCTTGTGTCGGGAGCACAGATTGGAGCACAGAACGAAGCACATTGCTCTTCGCTACTTCCTTGCTCGTGAGCTGCAGCAGCGTGGTCAGCTGCGACTTGCTTACGTGGCCTCTCAGGCCAACACTGCTGATATCTTCACCAAGGCACTCGCGCCTTGTGATCTCAGCGCTTCTGTACTCTGTTAGGTCTTGTACCTACTTTGCCTTGCTTGCTCACTTCTTGACCTTGCTTGTACTGTGACCTATATATACTTGCACTTGCATGCTTTATACATATATGCTTGCATGTGAACTGGCCTTGTGGCCCTTGAACTTGCGCTCAGAATGTGTGGTGACGTTGGGATCCACCCTGAGCTTGTTGTGCTTTGCTTGACTGGTCTTGTGACCCCTTGTTCTCCCCCACTTTGCCTATGGGGGTGTGTTGAACTTATATGCTATAGTCTTTCTAGGCTATAGTGGGCTAGACAGTATGGGATACAGCTTTCTAGGGTTTCATATTTGTACCCAGCTCATTTCCTAGTTCACCATTCTCGTTCTAAATTTCACAGCATGGTCATGCTTGTGTGCACAGCCTCTCAAGAGAAATTGTGGCCGTGGGTGTGGTTCAAGTTGAAAAACGTTCTTGAGTGTGACATTCCCAAAGGCAAGTCACATGTCTATTGCGTTTACGCACGTGATGGCAGCTACATCTTTCATTGTTTACAATTGTTTTCATCCTGTCACGGAGGTGTTCTGATGCCACGTCTCCCTTACTTGGCTCGACAGGTCTCATGGTCCAAGCCTAGGATAATAAGTGGATGGATGAGACGATGGTGAAGACGTGGTTGGCCAAGGATGTGCTGCCCTTTCTGAACTCCAGGAAAGGGCAATCGGCACGGCGTCCAATGCCGGTGCTAGATTCGTACCCTGGGCACATCACTCAAGGGATGTAGCAAATGTATCAAATGCAGTGCATCATCCCTATCATAATCCCTGCAGGCTGCACCAGCCAGATTTAACTTGGATGTCTTGATCAACTGTTGTTCAAATCCGTGATGCGAGCTCGCACTTGCAGGTGGTTCATGCACCACGGCATCAACTTGAGCACGCCAAAAGCTGAGTTGATTAACCTTGCCTTGTCCGTACTCACCCTTCCCTTAGGACGCGTCACCATTGAAACACCGATCCTGCGCAGGCTCGATGTTTCGCAACGACGTCGTTAATTGCTGGTTACCTTTCTTCGTCTTTTGTCGTCAATTTATAGTAGTCCCCTCGGAGTCGGGCGATCGATGTGCCCTTGCCACACATCGATCGTGCAATTTCATCCACATCGGGCAGTTTTGCCCCATGATTTTTCGATCGTGTCACTTGGGACTTGCGGTGGGCCCGCGATTGCAAAAAATCAGTCGTGGCACACCGATGTGGCGATCGATTTGGCAGGATCGGTGAACACCCCAGATCCTTTCTCGGTATTTGAATTTTGACGCGTCCTTGAATTTGCCCTCTTATCCCCCAACAGGAACCTTGGGGAGGCATCTGCATCACGTGGAGCTGCAGTGGATTGCGGAGGCGTGGGAGCAAGTGGCACGCGAGTTCATCATTTAAGCATACAAGACCTGCGGAATATCAAGCCACCGCGACGGGACCGAGAATCGCTTGGTTTTGTCTCACCTGCGCGCGAGGAACACCACTGACGTGTCTGAAGACATGTTTTTGCAGAAGAGCATGGCCGAGAATATGCGCCTGCTTGGGCAGGCACTGGGATAAATGGAGGGGGGGGAAAGGAGGAAGAGGAGGAGGAGGAGGAGGAGGAGGAGGAGGAGGAGGAGGAGGAGGAGGAGGGGGGGGGGGGGGGGGGAGGAGGGGGAGGAGGGGGAGGAGGGGGAGGAGGGGGAGGAGAAGGAGGAGGAGGAAGGGGGGGGGAGGAGGATGAGGAGGAGGAGGAGGAGGAGGAGGAGGAGGAGGAGGAGGAGGAGGGGGGGGGGGCGGAAGGAGGGGGAGGAGGGGGAGGAGGGGGAGGAGGGGGAGGAGAAGGAGGAGGAGGAAGGGGGGGGGAGGAGGATGAGGAGGAGGAGGAGAAGGAAGAGGAGGAGGAGGAGGAGGAGGAGGAGGAGGAGGAGGAGGAGGAGGGGGGGGGAGGAAGAGGAGGAGGAGGAGGAGGAGGAGGAGGAGGAGGAGGAGGAGGAGGAGGAGGAGGAGGAGGAGGGACTGCCCGTTGACGGCATCAGGGAAGTCGGCGTGGCAACGGAGCTGAAGATGCTCTACTCGGAGACCCCTTGCTATCGTGGAGCTGCAGCCGAGGCTGCACTCTTGATGGAACCGCCAAAGATGACTAAGCAAGCCTAGAACGTTGATCTTGGGAGTGCAGGAGCAGGCCTTGTTTTATCAGTATTTTTTACCGTGTTACACTGAAAATCGGGGTAGTTTCTAAGGGTAAGACTGATGTCTCTGGGTATTTATTTTGAAAGATAGGTTTACCCTGACATTCCAGGCTTTTTGTGTAAGCAATACTGATGGTCCAGGGTTTCCTTTTCTGGATGTAGAGTTTTCCTGTAATGGGGATACATATCTTGACAAGTCCCCCTTCCCCCCTTTACGCGCGTCGCATAAGATTACATCCGCATGTACTTGCTTCGCTGGCGGCAGTACTACCGGCGATTGGCCGATTTTCCTGCCTCACCCAAAACCACATTTTTTGCCCACGAAACTTATCATCTGTGGCACTGAGGCCAGGTACATCATGGTTTGCTCTGCATCAGTCCTCCAAGACTGCGCTGCGATGGTGTGGTGCTGGTGGGGGGTGAACCACACTTCCGTATTCTTTTCGGTGCGGATACCTCGGCTTGCTCGCAGCTTGTTGTATCCCTCTGTGACAGCCAGTTGTCATAGTGTAGCAGGTTTTTTTCCCGAGTTCATCTCAAGATGCCTACTGAAGCTATGGCGTCCGATGAGGACGACCTAGATGATACCCGCCACAGTGCCGCGTCTACCTCGCACAAATAACCGTCCTTGATTTCCTACGCAGCATTCACAAGCCGCCCATTAATGTAGTTCACGAGCCGTCTGCATGCAGCGTGGAACGGGTAGATTTGACCCGTGAAGGCGCCGTGGTGAGCTCCTCGGATACCGTTCCTGTGCCGACCAAGGTGGTAACGCCGGTGTCCAACGAGGGCAACACGTCACGTAAACGACGGCTTACGCAATCCGTACTGCCGTTCTAAATCCCACCTGCGAAGCCGCGCGTCGTTGTGGAATGAGCTGTCCAGCCCGAGCCACCACATGTTCGTCCGCTAACCAACGCAGAGAAGCTCCAAAAGGCTTTTCTAAAGGCGAATAAGTCTTACACAGCGGAATGGCGCGGAATGGCTTCCCACGTTTCCAGCTCATCCTTGATCGCACATTTGATGGCGTGTTTGAGATGCAGCGTTTGCAGCGAGCATGGCAAGGACAACGTGAGGTACGGTCAAAACGGGAAGGGCGGCCGCGATCTAAAGGAACTTGATGACTACGAGAAGAATGATCCGGAAGGGGCGCGCCTTGCAAGGCTTTGTTTCATACCATCGTTTATGTTTTGCAAAAACAATGGTCCAATTAGTGAGTTCACACGTTTGGTTGGTTTCCTGGCATAGCAAGGAGTGGCGGACATCCGGCGCCAAGCCTATGGTGTTTACATCACGGAGTAAGTATCAAGTAGCTGGTATTATTCTTGTATGTTATGTTGCTATTATTAAATTACTAATTAGTTTTCTCTTTGTACTTATTTGTTCTTCACCTGTATGGCTTCCGCGAAATGGTTCGCTCGTTGAGGACGTACTTGCACGACGAGCAGCCTCAATATCTGCACGCAACACCATTTATCGGGATAAGCATCGACGAGAGCACAAAGCGTGCCTCGCGGAAAACACATGATTGTGTTCGCAACGTTTTTTAAGAACTGTACGGTTGTGACGCAGTTCTTGGCACTTCTTACCATCGACGCGTGCGACGCTGCGTCTCTGCTGTCTTTGCTTCTTTTGCACCTTGACAACCTCCAAATTGACCTAAGCAATATCGCCGAGATCAGTACTGACGGCGCGTCGGTAATGTTGAGGAAGGACAACGGGGTGGTGGCTCGTCTACACATCAGGGTACCGCACCTTGTTGGGTGCCTGTGAGAGTACGACGGCTTATGCCAGCTATGCTTGCTTGCCTTCACTTTATATGCTATTTCTAGCATAGGATAATTATATGCATGCATGAATTGCTTGATTTCCTAGGCTAGGTGCTTTCCTATATTTTATTATAGTTATAGCACCGAGCTAGGTTGCGTGCACCGAATTCTGGCTTTTCGGTTGCCACCGAATTGCCTTCTACCGAATTCGGTAAGGATCTGTTCGGGACGCTTCGCGACCCGCGGAACCTTCGCGTAACACCTGGTTACGGGGCCTTGTGTCGAGCCTATATATAGCCTCGTGTTGTACCCAGGTGATCATTCAATTCGATTCAATTCACATTCTCTTTTCTGAGCTCGATCCTAGATCCTCACACTTGGTAATCAGAGCCCGTTTACACGCGAAGTTCTTTCGACCGCTACAAACCAGTCTTCAAAAAACCGCGGGGGCGACGCAGTTAAATATCGATTTCGGGTACGTAAAACCGGTTCCGTGTTTTTCGCTCCCCCTCGATTCGGTTTTTCGGACGCGTTGATGTCAGGCATGGAAGGCCAAGGCGACAACTACGCGACCACGAGCGACATCGCGAGCCTCCGCACCGACATGGAGCAGACGCAGGCGACGCTTCGTCGACTCGAGGCTTTTCTGACAAACCAACCAGGGTTCGCCACCGCAGCAGCAGCGACCGCAGCGACTGCAGCACCGACAACTCCAGCAGCAGTGGCGACGCCGACATTTCACGGACCGATGGCACCACTGTCGCCGAACCTCGAAGCAGCACGACCGAGGCTCCCTGAGGCGTTCGATCCAAGCGCGAAGGGATCCGACGTCCGGCGATTTGTGGCCACCCTCGAAATTTACTTCGAGGCCATTGGCTGTTCGACCCCGCAACACGACGCAGCAAGGATTCGGCTTGCAGCGACACTGTTACGTGGACCGGCTCTCGAATGGATTTACTACACCGACGTAGCCCGCGGGGAGAAAATGTGGCAGCAGTTTCGGGCAGATTTAATCGAGCGTTTCGAACCAATTAATACGACCTACATGGCGCGGCAGCAGATACACCGACACAAGCAATACAGTAGTGTAGCACAGTACACACAGCAGATGGAGTTACTGTTCAACCACATCACCGACCTGACCGAAGGCGAAAAAATCCAGGCGTACACCGAAGGGTTAAAAATGGAGATTCGGCGGCAGGTGATTGCGGCGAATTACAACAGCTACAGGGACATCGTGCGTGCTGCCGAGCGATACGACGCGCTGACTCGAGGTCAACCCGAAACACGACGCTTCACGCCGAACCGTACATTCGGCACGGAGCGATCGGCACCCCCCACGTTCGCCGAACCGATGGATATCGACAAATACGACGCGAAGCAGCAGCCGACAAAATGCGAATTTTGCGGCGCAGCAGGGCATCAGTTTTTGTCGTGCTACAAAATGAAGAAAGCACGTGCGGCACTCCGGGACGGAAACAGTGGAGCACCCCCGAAGTCAAAAAACGGGAATCGCCAGTAGCCGCGGATCGACCTGGCGATCGCGTAAAGATCCGAAAAGCAGAAAAAGGCGACGATGTGGCGACTTCGGAGCGGGCGAAAAAAGGAGAAAATGATGGCGCGAATCAAAAACGTCACGACCGGCCGGCATCAGGGGAAATCGCCGAGGCGAATGGAGGCTCCGCGAAAAAAGACTCTGCACCGACCGGGAAACTCCAGCCGAACACCCACGAAAGTAAGAATTCGTTAAAAGTATCCTATAAAGATACTCTAACGAAGAATATTGCTTCTCGTGGTTTTCAAGCCTTTGAAAAAATTAGGGGAGGTTTAAAGGCTAAGAAAAAGCCTTTAGAAATCATTCAGGTACCTGAGAAGTTGGGCAAAGTACTACGGAGCGTAGAAAAGGGTCGTGCGTTCCGTGGAGTTAATATTCTCTCCCCGCAGCACTGTGTTAAGGCTCCCCGTTGCCCACAGGTGAAGCCTACACAGCTGCCAAGGCTTAAAGGAGACATCCAGGCTCAAGAAAAAATTATACAAGCCTCAGAAAAATCCTCCTACCCCCCAGGTGAAGTTGGAAATGAACCATATTCTACGGCCCCTGCTGGACGAGTGCGTAGTGGTGTGTCAGATTATAATGCATGTCTAGTCTGTAGTGGGGTACTCAAAAGTGAGTATAACCCTTTTAGGGCTTACTACTTGTATCCCCCTTCTTTCTAGTTTCACCATTCTCCTTCCACAATTCTCTCGACATTTTTCCTTACACCCTACACCCTCGAACTTCACCAAATCACCTAAGCTACTATGGCTCCTAAGCCAAACTCTCGCTAGTACTTTAACATGCTATCAGAGCTTAAAGCTCCTGGCCTGTGGGCCCACTTACTTCCGCTGCCCTACTGTGTGTCACGCGCCCCGTGGCGCCCGACATTCTATTTTTCTTCCCGCCACGCGCTCGGAATGCGTGGCGGTTTTCTGCCCGCCGTGCGCCCCGAGGCGCGCGGCGGGTTCCTACCTCGTTGCGGCGTCTTGGGGGCCCGCGCACTGGCCCCGACCGTCGCCTCGTCGCGGCGTTTTGGGGGCCCGCACGCAGGCCCCTCCCGTCGCCTCGTCGCGGCACTTTCGGGGCCCGCAAGCCGGCCCCTCCCATTGCCTCGTCACGGCGCCTTAGGGGCCTGCGCGCGGTCCCCTCCCGTCGCCCGTCGAGGCACTTTCGGGGGCCTGCGCGGCTCCCTAGCACGTCGCCTGTCAGGGCACCCTGGGGGCCGCGCCCTTCCCCTCCCCTCCCTCCTAATTTCCGCTGCAGCAGCAGCCCCTGGAGCAGCCGCCCCAGCAGCAGCAGCCCCTGGAGCAGCCGCCCCAGCAGCTGCAGCCCCTGGAGCAGCCGCCCCAGCAGCAGCAGCCCCTGGAGCAGCCGCCCCGGCAGCAGCAGCAGCCCCTGGAGCAGCCGCCCCAGCAGCAGCCGCCCCAGCAGGAGCAGCCCCAGCAGCAGCAGCCCCTGGAGCAGCCGCCCCAGCAGCAGCAACCCCTGGAGCAGCCGCCCCAGCAGCAGCAGCCCCTGGAGCAGCCGCCCTA